AGTCTCTCTGGGGTCTACGTTGATAAAGCCAAGCAAGCAGCTTCTACTAACTACTTCAGCAGATTTTAACAAATAAAGTTAGTTGGCTTACTTACTTAACAAACAACTAATACAAAAAATTTACTTGACTAAAAAATATTTTTAAAACAATATAATTAAATTGAATTATTTAATTTAAAATTATCGTTGTCAATTTAAATAAAAATACAGCTTTTGTTTAGAAAAACAGATCAGATTACTGAAGTCATGGCGTTGGTGGGCTTACTTACAAATTGCATGGGTTTCAACAAATAACTAACACTAAATATAAACTTGACTCAATATGTTTAAAACATTCTACTTAAATCGAATTATGTAATTTGAAATTATTTTAGAGGTTTAAATGATTGGATGGAATTACTTGGCAAATAAAACTTGTGTATATGTTCTAATTTAATTAAATTTTGAATAAAATATTTTTTAAACTCGCTCGCGTTGTTTCTTTGTTATCGACATTGGGATATTCGTATATAAAGCGAGCAAAATTTTAATATAAAAGCGCTTATAAATCTACGCATATTGGCTCAGCTCGGCTTGGCTCGGCTTGAAATTGGATGTTAAGCAAGGTGTGGTCTCAAACTATTTGGAATTCTCCCAGAAAAATTTGAACTGCGTGTGCACATATGTAACACTGATTACTGTTGCTTTTATAATGAATTTATATATTATATATATAAAGCGAGCAAAATTTTAATATAAAAGTGCTTATAAATCCACGAATATTGGCTCGGCTTAGCTTGGCTCGGCTTGGAATTGGATGTTAAGCAAGGTGGGATCTCAAACTATTAAGAATTCTTATATATATATACATATTTTTACAATTTTCTATAAATTCTACCGAATATTGTAAAAATTATGGTCTATTACCAACATATATATATATATATATGTATAGACCAACTATATATATATATATATATATATATATAGTTGGTCTATTACCAACATATATATATATATATATATATATATTATAAAATTATATGTTTATATAAAAAGCAATATGGCAGATTTAACCAGCCAACCAGAAAGTTTCGAAGGCGTTCGTTTGATGACGTGTCAATTTAGTACGGTTAGCATTGTCGTTAAGACTGTATAATAGTGTACTACGTACATTAAATAAGTATTTTAACGATGTGAATGATGAGAATGTATGGCTGAAACGAGTATAAATAGGAGCTGAGACGGTATGAAAATCAGATCAGGCATTCTGCCTGATCTCATTTATTTTATTATTTATTTTTATTTATTTTATTTAGAGTCATTGTATTTATTTATTAAATGTTGATTGGTTTCTAGTTTTTTTTTAATTTGGTGATATAATTTTTTGTATTTCTTAATTTACTTTGCATATATGCATGTATAAATAATTTCTGTTTGGTATGTTGATTTAGCCATTACGATATGTTGTGAACTGTTCTTACTAGATGTTTATGTTACGAGGATTATTATCCTTCGAGAACTTCTTCGAGAGTGCATGTGATAGATAATACAAACAAAAAGTTGATTGAATGTTTTGGAAGCGGCTGAACGATATATTTATATGTTTACTCTAAGTTCTGACATGTTTTAAGACTTATAATAATTGCTGACATGTTTTAAGATTTTTAATAATTTGTTTTTAACATTTAAATTGTTGAATTTTTTCAAAAAAATTTTAAATCATGAAATCATTGAATGGAATTTCGTTCGAAAAAAATCGAAATTTTATAACTGAAAATAATCGAAACCGAAAGAGAATTGATATTTTAACATAGGATCGAATCGTCACTATATAATAATAATAACAATAATAATAAATAATTTATTATCGGTCGATATTTTGTTATATTTGTTTGTTTAAAATCCAAACTTTTCAAAGAATTCATTTATTTTTAAATGATATCAAATAAAAGCAAAGCAGCCACGATTAAAATCTCGAAATTGTTGGTGGGTATGTTCAAAAACAAACATACATATATTAAAAAGTAAAAAATTTAAAAAAATTTCTCAAAAAATTGTAGATGGTGTCCAGTCAGTTAGCTTAGACATCAGCAACAGTCACTTCAACTTTTACCCCAGGTTCAATCGAAATAGAGGTTATCTGTTTCACTATCTCAGAAGGACTGTGCAAATCAATGAGCCTCTTGTAAATTCTCATTTGAAATCGATCCAACGTCTTTGAACCTTCACCACATGGCGTTTTACGTGTTGTAATACGCAGAATTTTTGTTGGCAATCTGACGGGTCGTCCTTTCAACTTTAGCTGTTTTTCTTTAGCTCATCTGATTAAAGCATACTTTTTTCAGACTTTTGACCTACTTGCTGGCTAGAGTGATCCTGATTCTGTGAATTGTTGGCTCCTCAGTTGCAGCTTTATTTGCATCTTTTTGATTGGACATTATTAGAAGCTGGCCGACTTGTTGAACGACAGCGGTGAGCCAGTGCGTGAGCAAACTGAAACGTTTTCTACGAAGAGGTTTTTGCATGCAATTTACATACATATTTATGTATGAGCATACAAAATTTACAAAATTCTTGCAGTAAGTCTTCACATTTCTTTTTATGCCATTACTTCATTTTATTGTCAATTTATTTTATTTTCTTTTATTTATTATATCATTATGCTGGCGGAGTCAGGTTTGTTGAAACAGTCACTCAAATTGCTGGACGAGACAAGAATTGCATCCAGCCTTGGCCATGTGTTTAATCTCCAATGCCAAGGTTTCTTAATTAAAGCAATAAATGCCGTTTTATTGTCATTCCTGTTGATAACAATACTATATACATGCGCATTTCCATAACCAAGTTATCCACGTTTATCCCACTCGAAATCCGAATAACGAACGAAAAGCGAGGATTAATTGGTCCCACAAAACGATTATGTAAGCAGTAAGTACAACCGAAAGTACAATCAGCGGTCTTTCACAATTGTCTACCTACACTTCGGAGCAGAACAGCCATCGTCGTCAGATTTATCGATTTGCGAATGAACTAACAAATGTTAATATTAAATAAGGAATTGGTGACAGGTTGTTTATTTTTTTTTATTTCTATCATAATTTAGCGTCATCTAAATACACTTTATTCAAATATGTTTTTTTTTCATATTCTTGCACGCAAGCGTTTGAGCATTATGCATTTTTACATAATTTAAACAGAGAATCACAAAAATAATTTCAATAATGACAAATATATTAACAGACTGAAACGAAACTATGTACATCACAGGTAGAGTCTAAATGATATAAAGTTATACGCATCGCAATTACAAAACCACAAACAAACGAAACTTAATGAACCTAAGACATTTAAACTGAAAAATAAAACAACAGCTTATAATATTCTTTCATAGAACAAAATATAAGCCTGGGAATTCAAGACGTTCGATATGTTCTTCACTTCACTGACGTTACCGTCACTAACGTAAAACCATCTTCCAGGATAGGGACCTACTGATGAGTTTTCACTTCCCACGACGGATTTATTTCCTATTCCGTTTGGCTGCAAAGGAATCGAACTATCCGTAATTCGTTCGTCATTGATAGAGTCGGTGGTTTTAGGCTTAATTTTACCCTTTTCAAGTTTGGCGAGGAGCGTTTGAACTAATATCTCAGGAGAGAATAATACGGAAGAGAAATTATTTATGAACGATGCAGTATCTTTGATGTCGTCCCTGACCTTGACGTAGGCGGTGTAATGACCGCTCCTCAAACTTCCGCTGTGTTCAACAACGCCGAACAATGAATACAAAACTTTGTCTTCATTCGGTTTCACATTCTGGTGTTGTAAATTTTTATATTTTAATAAATATTATAACAATATAAGGACAATATTAATATTATTATTATAAACAAAATAACTGCAAATAACATTACATCATTCAAAACATTTAGAGCAAGCAAGTAAACACATCAACATAGGAAATCGTTAGATCGACACAACTCAACACAGTACAGACAAACAGACAGACAGACAGTCAGACAGACATCATCAGAACATACAAAAAAAAGTTACTGACCTGAGCCAAAGAACTGCAGAAAGGCGCCATGTCCAAAATCTCAGAAAACGTAACGTGCTTACTGAGCTTCTTCAGTGACATTATCGTCTGCGAGTTCGCGCGCGTAATTTAGTCAGTATATAATTAATAATGTATAATTATAATATAATTATAATACAATTATAATATAATTATAATACAATTATAATACAATTATAATATAATATACAATTATATTAAAAGTATATAACTAACTAGTTTAATAAATTTACTTAATTTCGTATAACAAACTCAGTAGTAAAAAACTATGTCCATTATTAAACATTAGAAACTATCTATCTATTGTGATCAATACCAATTGGATAACTAATAATGAAATTGATTAGTTTGAAGTTAAACAAGAAGACCACCCCTTACCTGTTGAAATCTTTTAAGGTGTAGGGTGAGGATGGACGGGGGCACAAAGATGAGGGCCTGTCTGTTGGCTATCGTGTATTTGGCCTCTTCTGGTCATTGGATGGTCAAATTATTATTATATAAATATTATTATATTATATTATATTAATAACATTAAATTATTATATTAATGATAATTACTAATATTATTTTTCACTACGCCATGTTATTATAATATATATATATATATATATATTAATATATATTATTACTAATGCATATTTTAAATTAAAATCCTATGGACCAACTGGCACAACGTTATGACCAGCAAATGGCCTCTTCACTAAGGTAATCAAAATTACAAAAATTAAATGATAAAACTCGAAGCAGTGTGATGATGAAAACTGCTGTCCTACTGACTTTTGCCCAGGCCCTTGTTGCAGTGCGAGCAGAGGTACTTGTTGTTACCGGTCAGCATCTCCATGGTGGTGAACTGGTAGAGGCACGATTCGATGGAGCACTCGTGTGGTTGACATTTTAACCTATGACCTAAGGAGGTCATCGACTGCCTCATGGCGTGAATTTTGAGGCCTCGTGTCACGTGATTGCCGATGTGATTGTTGTCGTGTTTTGAAAGGCAATGCTGGTCGATGCTTTCGTTATGAGTAATTTGCTGTCGTTGTCGTTTAAGCGGCGACTGTTGCTGCTGCTGCTGTTGTGGTGATGGCGGTAGAGTTCCAAGCGTTATTTCATTCAGTTTGTCAGAAAGATCTGCTACTGATGCTTCTCCATCTTCCCTTACTTTCCCAGCATCCTCAACCGCTTGTAGTAATGAAAACAACGATGACGACGACTGTGGTGGTGGTGGCTGTGACGTTTCCTTGCTGTCGCCGCTGGCATCGTCATACTCGTCGTCATCCTCAGAGTTGTCCTCTGCGTCGGCCTCACACTTTGGAGCTGCATGATTGAAATAATAACAACAATAATAATACTTGTAATAATAATAACAACAACAACAATAATAATGTCATTTGTGCAGCGTCCTATGTATAATATATATCATTGAGGAAAACTGGAATCCAACCATACTATCATTCCTTTCTCAAGTATTCATACTAATTGTACGTAGCCAGCTTTAAAACTAAAATTACTGATTACTGACCGTTACTGCAACTACTACTACATACATGAAATTTATTTACACGCTATCTGATCTGAGGGAACAATAATGACGTAATCAAAATTAACTCCAAAATAGTCAGATGTAACAAAAACTGCTAAACTGACCAAGAGATGAAACTGAAGATGACGACGACGACGACGATGATGATGGCGATGATTCGTTAACATTTTTATCATTATTATTATTGTTGTTGGTGTCATTATCATCCTTGTTACTATCAACATTATTATTAGTAGTAGTATCATTTATAACGAGATCATTACTACCATTAACATGGTATATATCATCATTGACACCATTGGCATGTTGGTGATGAGTGAGGAACATATCACTGATGATGAAATTCTTATCTTCACCATCATCACAACCAATAGGCGAGATCAGACAACAAACGTCATCATCATCATCATCAACATCATCTTTTTTGATGATGAATGATGAATTAGAACCATTAGATTCGACGTCATTAGCATCATTATCACAGACGTTGTCACCAATAATAGTATCATCTCCCTTGATAGCACTAACATTGTTAGTATCATCCTTCTTGACAGCACTATCATTGTTAGTATCATCTATCTTGATAGCACTATCATTGTTAGTATCATCTATCTTGATAGCACTATCACTGTTAGTATCATCTATCTTGATAGCACTATCATTGTTAGTATCATCTTTCTTGATAGCACTATCATTGTTGGTATCATCCTTTTTGATAGCACTATCATCGCCATTTGTAATGATGGTATCATTTGTACATTTATCATCATTATTATTGAGATTTTCATCGTCACTAGCATCATTATTACGACCATCTTCTACATCGTTGAAATCTTTCTCACTCTTGACTACATCACCACAGAGTTTCTCACTGACCACATCATCGCCATCGTCATTTTTCTCACCACTACCTCTGCCGTCATAGTCGTTATCATCCTTGCCGTTGTTTAGTTCACCAGCGTTATTGTTATCGTCTTGTTTGCTGTCGTTGTTGTTGTTAGTTGTACCGGTAGAGGCTGATTTTTTGATTGCTATCTTGTTGGCCTGGTTAATTTTTAAGTTTAAAATATTAATAGTTATAATGAAGCGTCATAATCACCACCATCATCCCAATCATCATCATCATCACTTTTAATTTATAATTATCATCATCATGTCGTCACTATCAGCATCATCACCACTTCATCACAACTACTCAACTACCCTCATTACTCACACTCACACACACACACACACACACACACACACACACACACATTTTACAACTACTATCATTATTGTCATACCATCCAAACACATACACACACATACACACACACACACACAAACAAGCAAACCTTCTTCTTTGTCTTCTTCGTTATCTTCTTCTCTTTCTTGCTCATGTGCTTGCTTACCACATTGCCACCATCGCCGCCATTTTTGGCGTCATCTTCATCATCTTTATTTTGATTTTTATTGTCTTTGGTCTTCCTTATAGGTGACGTCATTGACTCAGACATAAATTTTTCTTCAATGACAGGCAACGAGATGTCGAGGAACGATTCATACTTCTGGTGGGGCTGTTTGTGATTGGTTGGTTGGCTAATGGGTGAAAGGATTACGATTGGTTGACTGTGAGACAGACAGAGAGGAATTTGATTGGTCGATTAAATGTTTTACAATAGCTCTAGCCAACCACATAGCTGGTTGTTTATATCCAGATGGACTTACATTATATAATTAGTTATAGTATAGGAGATTGGTGGATTCATACTAGACAAATGGACAATCCCATCATCATCATAATTATCATCACCCCATCATCATAACGACACCATCACCATCATCATAACGACACCACCACCATCATCATCATCATAACGACACCACCATCATCATCATAACGACACCATCACCATCATCATAACGACACCACCATCATCATCATCATAACCACCACCACCATCATCATCATCATAACTCACGGTTGAACACTTCTCACAGGTGACCGTACTTATGAAGTAACCACCGAAGACCTCGTCCACTGTTGTCCTTGTGGCCGCCTGTCCGAACGCTGGTGATGATAATGATGATAATAATAATAATATCAATTATTATTATTATTATTGTAAGGATGAAGAGGAAGATGACGATGATGATGAGTTTAAATGATGAAGATGTCTACCTACCTACGTCATACTACGATAAAATTTTATTCGAAACTAAAAATTTCTTCAATATAGTTTTTTCTTGCTCATTCATTCATTCATTTATAATTCATCAATCACCATTTTTCCATCCATCCATTCCAGCTATTCATTTATCTTTTCATTCAATCATTTATTCAACCAATCCATCAATCAATCAACCGTTTATTATCAAGTAATTTTGTTTAATTTATCACCATCAACCATCATTCTCTCATCAAGTTTTCCTCAATCTATCTATTCATTCATTCACTCATCCATTTATTCATTCACTCATCCATTCATTCCTTCATCTAACCTTTAATTTGTTTCTTCTTTCTATCCGTCAGCGTAGATTGTGAAGTTTTGTTGCATACATCGTATCTCTTCAATATTCCCAGCTTCACTCTCTTCAAAATTATTAATATAATAATAATAATTATTATTATTTATTATTAGTATAAGTTATTATTATTATTATTATTCTAAGTTATTATTATTATAAGTTATTATTATTATTATTGTTCTAAAAATCATAATGATCGTCGTCAGTATTTTAAAAATACCAAAAGAACAACCATCGTTATGCAGATAATAATAATAATAATAATAAAAGTAATAATAATAATACACAACAATACACGTTTAGACGACATTTTCCCCGAGATCGGGGATTGCCGTTTGGCTACCTATAATGAAACCGAAATACCCCTCGACGCCATCCACATCTGTTACTTGCCTCAGTATCACGCAACCTCGCTTTCACCCTGTCCTTCTCCACCTGCTCTCTCCATCCCAATCGCGGACGACCCGGATGACGGAAATAATAATAATAATAATAACAACAATAATAATAATAATAACAATAATAACCACCACCGACCCTCATTTCTTCCTCCCTTAGTACATCGAGTAGGTACCTCAGCAGCTCGTGGCTGTCTTGTTGCTGGAAGCCTTTGAATTGTGGCGCTCTGTGTGGGTGGTGGTGGTGGTTGTGTCGGCGGTAGTAGTGGAGAATCATTGTCATGATCAGTGACGTCATCATCATCGCCATCATCATCATCATCATCGTCACCATCATTTTAGTGATCATCATCGCCATCGTCAACATCATCGTAATCATATTAACAAGAAGTCTCATAGCCTCATCATATCAAATTTTTAATGCAAAAATGCAATCATGACGTCATCGTCATCGTCGCCAGCACCCTTATCGTCGTCATCATATTAACTAGAAGCATCACCATTCCAAAGGACCAAAGAAAATAATAATAATTGAGATAAAAAAACTAGACGTTTACTTTTTACAAAGCTGACCGAATAGATTGCTAGGTGAGTAGGTGTTACCCCTGACAGCAGCTGTACTGGTAGGTGCACTTGCACTTGCGCTCGGTGCGGATGCACTTTTGACGTCATCATAGAACGATAGAAGAGACTTTGTCAGACCATCGCAGACACCCATGTCGATTGATAGCGATTCCTGTGGTATTGATTTAAAAAATATTTAAAATAATGATAATTAATACTTTGTTGTTGCTATTATTGTTCTTGTTGTTATCACAAAAAATAATAAAAATAATAATAATGACACGTCAAATATTACAAAAACTGTAAAAAGTAACGGATAATAACAGCAATAACAACATGTGACAACACAAACAACAACATCCACAACAACAATAACAACGACAACAGCCATAAAAACAACAACGTCACAATAACCGAAACATATTTTCCAACATTCACCATAAATAGACAAACAAAACAAGCAACAAACCATCTTGAGACGCGATACCCCATCATCATCACCATCGTCATCTTCTACATCATCTCCATGACCATTGCAATGATTATTCCTCGCGTTCCCACCATCATCGTTGTCATCTTCATCGACGTAAGCGACCAGAGAAGAATTATCTTTGTGCAATTCTTTCTGCCTCAACTGTAGCTCAAACAACTTGGCCTGGTTCATGCACTGAGTTGGGAGGAGAAACGTAAGGCTAATTAACGAGCATTATGAATGTTGAAAAAGTTTAAAAAAACAAAATGTGTACATTCATCAACAATCCCATTAGTAGCGATGTAAACAACAACAATAACAATAACAACAACAACAACATTAATCGATCGTAATAAACATCTACATCAACTTAAATACAATCATGAGTGAAATAGCAAGAACATTACCTATGTATAACAACAAAAGCATAAACATCAACAAAAACGTAAACATAGACA